ATATATTATCTTAATAATATGATTCTACATTTTTTCCAAGGCATCCTATGGTGTTTTTCATATCCAAGTACAAGGCAATTTTTAAGTTGAGAGGGTTTGATTTCATTAACTACATTTATATACAGTCACAAAGTAACCTGGCAGGTTGATGTCCAAGGGTGTAAAACATTACATGCAACTGTATGGCAAAAACTGATCATAGTGGCCAAAGGAAAGGCGAAAATAGAAATGTCACCATTTTCCTGACTTTATAAATTTCCTTTGATATTTAGCCAGATTTGGTCCTTGTCGAAACATGCAAACTTGAACATTTATTTTCTGAACCTAGCTAATCCCATCTTTTCTAAACCATAATCTTGTTCCAAGGGGTAGAGTAGTTTTTGGAATTTATAATTTTTCCCTCTTTGTTTGCAACAAAACACACATGAATGAGGACTGAATGACAAACTAAAGGCAGTGTAATAACTGCTCTCATGAAAAGAGAATTCGAAACACAAAATAATTACCCTTTCAAGATTCATTCATTTGTTAGGAACTACGGTAAAGTTTAAATTAAATCACACGAAGAACGAAACTTAGACATTTCAACATGTGCAAAATCAAGAGAGAATGATCTCTTGGCAAAATTTATTTAGCTAAACTACGAGCTTTGACCATGCCACTTGATCATCCAACGTAACTCTGTCAGGATAAGTTCACAATCAAGGATGTAAAATCATCATTTCTTCTCGTCCTAAAGGTGTGGTAAAACTGTAAACAACTCTGACAACTCTACTCGACCACAGCCGCCGCACTTTTTGTTAATATCGCGAAGAAATTTTGGGCCTTTAACTTGAAAAATTCTTCTACATACGTGTGGAGGGATGGCCCTTCTTTTAGTCTTGTGGGTCTTCTAAACAGAAACACATAGTCAAAAGGTCGGACATCGAGGAACATGTTCACTGGTCTCGTTCTTAGCGTAGTAAACCGCATGTAATGAAAGACGCAAGGCCAGAAGAAAGGAAAACGTAAGCTCCACATTGCCGCGGAAAAAAATTGGTTACAGCAAAGAAAGCAATGACCAACAGGACCAAAAGCGAATTCACTTCACAGTTTGCAATCGCTGCGAAGATCTTATTCCCAACCCGTTACGCCCATGCTCGCTACAGTTCTCGGATGATTGACAGATTTCTTAACTGGGGCGATTATGGAAAGCCGAAAAGCGGCAAGATCAGAGGCCGTTGCCAACCCCACCTGGTTAGAGTGATCACAGCAACACAGTAAACAAAGAAGTTCTACTCGGCGTCAAGTGACCGAAGCACAAAAATATGGTGAATATCGTTGAGGCTCAAATAGAACGTTATTTACCAAGTTAGTACAACGTACACTCGTAAAAAGATTATGTATCCAGGATTATATTATGAAAGACAAATCCCAAACGAATAATATACCGTCTATACTGTCTTGTCTAAGCGTAGAAAGTATAACACGTTATGAACGAAAATTATGCACGCTTTTTGTACACGTAGAACTTTCAGTTAGGCCATAAATATTTGATAAAATTCAGCCCAAACGCAACTGATTGTCGATAAACCTTTTAAGATGTGATGTGCGTTACGTTTTGGTCATTTCATTGAAGAGGATACTGATGCGGCAGATGATGTGATCGCTTTTTTAATAACAGGAACTGCCTTTTCCAAGTTTGCTAACAGCACTTTCTGAACCTGCATTGATATCTTCTTACCGGTCTTCAGGAAAGTGGCAAACGTCTCGCAATTATTCACCACCAAATGGTAAGGTTCCCAAGATTTTGCTTTTTCAACTGCTTCTTTCGCCCGCTGAATCGTTTCACTCACTGGTAAGTAGTCGCCCTCTTGGTATTGTACACGGTAAAGCTTACGATCGACACTCCCCGCGCAAAATTCTGTAAGAGGACGAATCTTTGGCTTGGCGCTTTTCTTGTCTTCCCCGTGAAGTTCGATAACGTTCATTTCTTCTTTGAGATAAATACCATGGTGAAGGAAGGTACCGTCGGTACCGTCAGTGTCGTCAGTATGAGCCATGATAGGGACAAGCCAGGGACTTAAATCTTTAACAAGTCCACGGACAGCAATTTGGTCCCCATTTTCCAATTGTTTCTGATGGACAGCTTCGATTTTTGGTATTTTTACTATTTCCTGTGGATCACCCATTTGAGTTATCCCTGACCTAAATTCGCAAACTGCCTGTTTTGACTATCGACGACCAATACAACAGGGAGCGAGTAGGATCAAAAGGCCCACGATGCTTTGTGAGTGAGCCGGAAGTAACTAGAAAGCGAGGCACAACGGTCATAATAGATCTTGGCTCTGGGAGAGGGCTCGGGGTATACCCACACGTACACCTTCTCCTCAGGGTAGAGCGTATTTTTGTCAAATTAAATCTTGTACCTATAAAACAAACGACGTGCAATTATCATTTGACTGTGAAGTATTTATTGTTGACAATTAATTACTGTTTTGAAGGGAACTTTGTTTCACTTTTGCCTTCCTCATGGAGCTTAATCTCGTACCCAGATCTCACTCTGTACGAGATTACGTGGAGCTTTATCTTTATTAAATCCTCGGCCTTACCCAAAAAAATTGGCCCTTTGCATGACTGTGTCATGTGACCTTGTCAATTACAAAAACGGTCGTGGTACCAAATAGATGCCAAAAATGCAAAGAGCATGTCAAAAATAGCAAAATGGCCAAGTTTGAGAGTCCTGGTATTGAAGACTGAGTTTTTATAGAAGTTCGAATTTTTGAAAGTTACAAAGATTTGTATGGAAAAAAATGATGGGTGGCAGACGTTGCCATCCAGTAACATTTTCCATACAAATTCTTTAAATTTCCCCAAAATTCAAACTGCTATAAAACCTCACTCTTCAATGCCAGTTACTTTCTGTTATCCATTGTCTGAGAGACCTCACGCTCCAGTTTTCGATACACGTGTCCAACGATGTTTACGCTTAAATAAAAGCTGCTGACCCAAAATACTGTACAGAAAGAAATATGGCGATAAAAATGGGAGTAAATCATTCCAACAACAAAGAAAGATGTTCTGCAGGAAATTTGGATGACCTTCTGTGAAAGTATTGCAAATCAAGGTAGGCGGACGTAAGCTGTTCGGACGTTCATTGAAACTTCTGGCGAATGTGCAATGTACTTCGACAAAGAAGCGAGGTGTGTAACTGATACCAGCTAGCTAATTCACCTACAATTGTCTGAATCAAAATCTACGCGCTGTTTTCCTATTAGCGCAGGTTAAGAGACGATAACTAGTTTAGCCTGCGTAGCAAGCGTTTCCTCGCGAGGTTCGTCTAGAAAGCTGGGACAAGAGCAAAAAAAAATGAATGACGGGGGAGGGGGAGGGGAACGAAGTCAGTGGAGACTAGGGAAGGCCAGTTTATTGAGAATGACGGCGTGCGGATCTGACTGGAAAAAATGGACTGTTTGTTGGAGATAACATCAACATAAATCAGAACATCGGTACTCGACACTAGCTAAAGCCGCCATGGACAAACGATTTGTCAGCTTTTTGAAATGAAAAGATTCTTTTTGTTTATTGGAAATTTAGCGGCATCTATTGTAGAGAACGTTTCGACACAGGCTGAAGAGCAGCCGTTCTGCAAAACTTATACCCGGCGGAGTGAATTGTTCCGGACAAATCATTTTTGACGTGTCGACAAGGTTTCAGACGAGATAAAGCCACACAATAAAAAAAAACAAGAAATTCCGCGGCAATCGGTCAGTTTTAACTTTCTTTTATCGTAAATCTTTTTTATTACAGTTCTTGCAATCGCCTGCAACGTGTTCTATTAGAGAACAAAGTAATTTTACAAATCTGGCAATCCAGGGGTAATCTGTTCGTTATGCTTCTATTTTGACGAGCTGTCAATTTACAAATGAACCGAACCGTGAAATATCAAGGGGCGTTTTGCAGAATCGTGGGGTTTGCGGGCAAGCGTTTCCTCTTCTCCCCTCCCCCACCCTCTTCAACCTTTTTTTTGCTTCCGCTCTAACTTTCGCGCAATAACTCGATTGGAAACGCTTGCTACGCAGGCTATAACTAGTTGAGATTACTATATTCACCGAGTAGTTTTTAACAAAATGGATAGGATAACTATATCATCGCATTGCTGTGTTTTTCGAGGGAAAATTAGTTTTGCCAATCTTTGTACTCGGTAGTGTTTTCCAGTAGGGAGTTTAAGATACGGAGACTACGGACTACGAACTACTGCTGGACGAGCGTTGTCCTTGTTTGTAGCACTGGGCCGTGAGTCGTGCAAATATAGAACGTTAAGATTGCACTTCAGACAGTGGACTACGAGAGAAGAGGCGGAGAGGGAAACAACACGCAAAGATTTTCTTGTTTTCATTACAGTTCACAAAAATGCAAGTCAGTTTTGCATGTGATCTTATCTTTAGAACAATGAACAAATTCTTCCATTGAAGGAAGCAATCAGCCTAGTCCCTAGGCGTTCTCTCTTGCCCCGTTGTCCGCGGGAAGTCTGGGAAAGAGCTGGAGAGAGAACGCCTAGCCAATACTTTTCACAGCGGTCAAACGAGTGAAATTTGCAAAAGTTAAGCGAAATACTTCAAAGTTAAGGTTGCTACTTTCACTATCGAAAGTTTAGGGTATTAACAACATCCTGTTAGTTTACTAAACTTTTTAAAAGTTTACTAAAAGAGTTCTAAGTGATTGAAAACCGATGCTGACGTTATTATCGTCGCCATTTTCAAACATGATTCTCTTTTAGCGAGAAGCGTTTTCAGCGAAAAAAGCTCAAAATTTTGAGAAAAATGGAAAGATAGTTATGTTGACTAACTGATTTATACATCTTTGCTCATTTTTCTCTAACTGGTAAATGAAATCCCAGCAATAAAAAACAAAAATAACGATTTAGACGTTTGACCGCGGTGGTTTTGACAACCCCTGATTTTAGAGCAATTTTACCCCTGGTCACATTTTACACATTTTGGTCATTTTTCGCCGATAGTATGGGTGTGTCGGTTGAAGTGTCTGCAAATAGCGGTAAGTTCTAACTTTGTAGCATATTATTTTTTTCTGGTTAATATTTGTTCGTCGTGGTGGATTGTTTACGGTCAAAAATTCTCCTAGTCGGCGACTCAAGCTAAAATCCTCCTAGACCCAAAAGAACGATGCAAATTTTCACCAAAAACTTACATATACATTTTTTTAGACTCAGAGTAGGAGTAAGATAGCGGGGAAAGCGATTTAGAACTTACAAGTCATCCATTCTGTGGCCACCCGAAAGGAAAGGTATTCGATTTTTGTTTTTCTACAAGTCATTGTATTTTTAATTAATTTTATATCAACGAAAGTATCTCGGTGTTGTTTTATTGGGTAACATTTTATAATTTTCAGGAAGTTCCCCTTGTCGAAATCTTTTTTGTCCTGTCAGAACACCAAAGAAGCTGAAAAAGGCATCGATGAAGTTAGGCACTACTGTATGCCATATAAAATCTTCAAAATTTATTTAAGCTTACTGTATATATATTGAGCTTAACTATTACATTTTTTTTTTTTTAAAGAGGTGGATAAAGGAGTTGTAGGCAAAGGAAAGAATAAGACCTGTAGGGTAAATCTGTCCACTTTAATTTGACTGTTGTGTACGGTGACGATAATAAGCTTATTTCTAGTGCCTTCATACTTAGTGTTTTGCTTAAAACAAATTTATTTTGCAGGATGTTCTCCTCGTTTGAAAGTTATCTCCCATGGAAACAGATGTTTCCATACAGTCCTTTAGCAAAGACGAACCAGCAAAAGAGGTTAAAGGAAATAGGTACATGTACAACTGTACAATGTATTTACTATTGTTACCCAGTTTAATTTTAAAGTAGGGCATAAATTATTGAATGAGGTAGAGTACGATGCGAAAGATTATGCAAATTGAATAGAATGATGCCCACCTCAGATCAGCATAATTCTGCACATCATATAAAAACCACATAACAATTATTGTGTTATTTTTCATTGTAAACATTTCTACATTTGTAAGCTTTTTTCAAAAACTCTGGCCAATTCCCAGCACAGTTCTAGGATATCTGAAGGTGTTTTTTCTTGCATATACTTCACAAAAAGTAGATAATATTCATTCAGAAACATGATTCGCATGTTCTTGCATTCCATCTAGTCTTAGTCAGAAAATTTAGCTGTTTCATCTTGGTATAGGTGTAAACACACATATTTAGTTCACTCAATATTGCCCAAGCAGCCTTGTCTCTAGGCAAATATACCATATACTAACCCTGCTTCTAAAACCATATATCATGGGATCAAGGGTATATTGCTTGCATCCTCCAAATATGAAAAGTACCTGTTGGTTATGAATTAGTTGGGGGCTTGAGCCAATTGAAAATGGCTACGTTTTTTGAATGAACAACAATAATTGACATATTTATTTATTTATTTTCGAAAGATCGCTTTGTGCCTATCCTCTTTATCTCTATACTATAACTTAAGCTTAATTTTGACTTTGTATTTTAAATTGAAGATCTGGAGAAGTGAGTTGTAGCCACTGGAAATAAAATGACCTTTAGGGTAAACCTGAACCTATTTAAAATTTGTCTGATGCGCATTTAATGTTTTGCAGGACATTCTTCTCATCCTTCTTTTATATGTTCTGTAAAAAAGGACTGGTGGCCAGTACTGCTGCTTGTAGCTCTAGGTGGGGTATGGTCAGCGGTTACAGTGGGGCTACTCTTGATTTGGCGGCTATGAATCGTGTGTCATACCACAGGTAACCCAGGCTCTGTGATAGTACCACAGTACGGTTCTAGTAAATTTACAGTGTTTTTATGGGGTAAAAATACGATCCTAAAATTTGTAGGAAATACTAAATATCAGTCAATGAAACTTACCCTGCAGTTAGTTGTTGTTGTCCTCATTGCTCCAACGAAGTTCGTGATAGTTTGTTCAAATTCACTCTTTATAATTATAATATACAAGGCACGAGATGCCATCTTCGCCGCCATGCTCTCATTCAACACAACTTTTTTCACGAAATTCGAACTCCAACGGAAAATAAACATGTCAGGATCGTAGTAATAGGATAGCAGCAGACATAGAAACCAATGAAGCTTTCCCAGATAGAAAAAACAAATCCCGCAGACTTTGACAAACCCGAAGGATGTAATCCAAAATGGCCGAGAATATGCTCGCGCCTCGCGGTAAACGCTAGTTTCCATATCTCAAACCACCCTTGGATACCTTGTGATGCCTACACAAAGTAATTGTATATACGTATACACCCCTAGGCGTTCTCGGCTCGGTCAATCCTGGACTCTACCGTGAGCTGTGATGTCACCGAGAGATACACGCTGTGAACGCCAAACGCCTAGCCTTCGCCTTGAAGCCTTCGCCTAGCCAATACTGCCAGATCAAATATGGCGGCCCTTTTGTCAGGTTACTGCACCTTCAGCCGAAAGTAGCTGAAAATCCATCATTTGAACAGGAAGAGTTTCTGTGTGCATGCCACAGCGAAAAACAAAGTTTCGGTTTCGTAAAAAAGGATCCGCGAGACCAAGTTTTGTTCAACTTAAGTGGCCTCATGCGCAACAACAGGTAGATGAACTTCTTTCTTGAATTTGTGCCAATGAATCTCTGCACGATGGAAGAGCTGAGGTTACGGACTGTCGTCGAAACAGGAAGCAAGGCAAACGTGTATATTGTCAACATATGCTTCATTACGGCATATCTGGGCATTTTCAAGCACTTGCTAATGTTTTAAAACGATACATCAAAAGTGTCTCTCCAGAAAAAAAAAATTAATTAATAAACACAAAAAGTAGGTGTTGCGGGTTTTGATTCACTTCGTAATGTATGTATATTCTTCTTTACTAAAGTGACTGTTTCCAGCAGAAAAACAGCACATCTTTCTTACATTTCTCACGAAATATAGATATTAAGGGCCCAGATGGGTGTCTCGATATCGCACTTAAATTTTTGACAGCTAAATTTGTATATAGTGAATTAAGCTTAAGTTTATGTTAGATAAAGAAAAATTCGATTTTCGGTGTTCTAGCATTGAAGATGTAAAAGATACTGGGTAAACCCTACTGGTATGATTATTGAACTGTTGTGTGCCTATAGAGCTATTGTTGACAAACAAACCCCAAATTTAGGAGAAACAGATATTACATTGTAAAACACTTAAAAAATACTTTATTTGGCATTGCATCTTTGAATTGAAAGAATCATGAACTTGGGCAGCAGTTCTTCTTTTCTTCCCTTCTCTCTCTCTCCCTGCAGGCTTCTCTTCTTGTGCCATACCACCAGTGTTTGGTTCCTTTATTCTTTTTTCCCCAGTAAGTTTCTCATTAAAATATCTGAAATTTAATAAATTAAAAAACAAAAAAACATTTCAGCCAGGTAGAAAATTAACCGTGTTAAAGGGTACATACAAATGTGGCTCATGATTAGAAAATTGAAACCGTTTGTATAAAATAAAAAATATTTCAATGTAAAGAGTGACATTATAACATGATTGCTTTAAAATGATAGGTTTTTACCCAATTAAGGATGCATGGACACCATGAATTTTAGTGCGAATGTAAGACCCTATTAAGAAAATATTATTATTTTGCAGATCTATAAATACTATCTTATTGTATTCATACTTTGTGCCTGCAATAAATTAGATAATATGCACCACACCCCCATTAAGCCCACCCCTTGCCTCTTTTTCTACCTGTCCCAATATAAAACTCATTGGGATCAAAAAATGAAATACTGGCAGCTGTTAAGGTTGCCTAGTTTAAAAGTACTGTGTAACAATAATGAAATAGTTGGAATTTTTCAAATGAGCAAATATAACTATTGATTCAATTAAAGTTATCAGTAATCAGCTGAAAGATTGGATAAGAAATTATTATTATATTTGTTGGAATTAGCCTCAGTGTAAAAAAATTGATATTTAACAATTATTCGCCGAAGGCGAAGTTAATATTGTTGAATAATCCCCAAGACGAAGTCGAGGGGATTATTCAACAATATTAACTTCGCCTGAGGTGAATAATTGTTTTAGTATATTCACACGAAGTGATCTCAACAGAATCAGAAAGGAAACCATTAAAAAACGATTAGTTTGATTGACGGGTGAAAATTCATGCGTGAACACGAAGCCGTAAACAGTGGATGCGCAAAAGTTAGATCTTTACAGTATCTTCAAACATGGCAAATGATAGTTTTCATCCTTTTGTATCGAGTTTTGTAAGCTTTAGCATCAACGGTTTAAAAGAAAACGCCGAAAATTTAAATTACTACCCAATTCTGAGAAGAAAAGTATCTAGAGCTTTATTTGTTTCTGTCAACTCACCGTGAATGAGAAAGTTTTCTTCGTCGCTTCTTGCAAATGCTGTCAACAGCGGCTGCGATCAAGGTGAGCGTTGATTATCTCCAAAGTTCTTTGCCTTGTTAACTTGCTGGCACGTACAATTTTCGAAAATATTTGTCTTCCTCTCTTCTCCATAAATTAACTTCTATTTATAGGCAAAATTGGTCTTGCGAGAAAATCCCGAAATCATAAAACAGTGACAAAGCGACCTCGTTTTCCTCTGTAGTGGTAAACATAGCTTCGAGCGTACAAAAAGTCAGCTAAAGTAAACCACTTCACAATAAATCACGCTGGTTAAACACCATGGAGTCTTTTCTTGCCTTCAAAGTCATCAGCACTTGGATATTCGAGTATTTTCAAAAAGGTTTTACTTTGAAACTTTGGCAAAACACCCAGTTCACGACAGCGATTTTGTTCGGCTTTATATTCACCGCCTAGCGCGGTGAATATAACGTCATAGTCCGAGATAGCTAACCAATCAGATTGCTTGAATTACCAAGATCACTGAGTGTGTATATACTAAAAATGAATACATTGCACAGTTGTACCTATTTTTCCAGTCTCTTCTGCTGACTGGTCTTCACTGATGGACTGTTTGGCAATGTCCTTGTGAGGCTATATCAGTCCATAGCAGAAGAGTCCAGACTGCAATTTTAGAAAGTCGTATTCTTCTCAGACAGCAACATCGTCTTATCATGGATTCGCAGTCAAGCAAGAGAGTTCAAACCGTTTGTGTCCGCCCGAGTTGCAGAGTTTCAAAGCAATTCTGACCTGTCTCAGTGGACAATCGTGATGGCAGCAGTGTGACACACACTGGTAGCAATGACATCTGGATTTGACGAGTTGGAATGATTCACAAAAAGCTTCCTCTTTCTCAGAGAACAGAAACACTAAACAAGTTTAAATCAGCTGAGCTGAAAGTTTTAATATGCACTGACCTGGCATCTAGAGGATTGGATATTCAGGATGTAAGTCATGTGATTCAGTTGGACTTTGCTCCTAATGTGGCACACGTGCTTCATCGGACAGGACGGACAGCAAGGGCTGGTGCAGCAGGAAGAGATAAGAATCCATGTGAACCCTTTATAAAGCCACAATAATTATCTGCATACAAATTCTCCAGACAGACCTCCATTCATTTCCTTTACACTTTACGAAAGTAAGTCCCAGGAGTGACCAACATCAATTTTCTCCAAACAATATCAGTGCATCTCCAATGGTTCAAGGTTATGAGAACTGGTTAAATGGTCACCAAAGGGAAAATGCTTTGATCTTTTATCAAATTATCCCAACTAGTTCTCTAAGGAAATATGTGGAGATCAGACAGGAGAATTTGTAGGTGGTTAATGGGACTTAAAGGGTTAAAGAACTTTTTGAGAGAATTTGATAAAATATGAAGCATTTTCCCTTTGGTGATCTTTTCATTAATTCTCATAATCTATTTCCTTGATGA